AATAAATCCTAAATTCAATCATTTAATCTCTAAGCTTCCCATAGCCTTAGCAACATTCTCAAACACTTTATTAACACCTAAATTCCTAGCTAGCTCTCAATAATGCTCAAATACTTCCCAATCTAGAACTTCTAGATTTCTATATATCTCCAATCAATACACACATGTAACAAACATATATATATATATATATATATATATATCAGTTCGGTCTCCTCTCCAAAACGGTCATCATCTAACCAGTGACCATTTCCCTTAGCTCCATGAATTCGAGTCCCATGACAACAACAAAGCACGCACACACATTATACACACACACACACACACAAGCTTCGGTTCTTCCTCATATATATATACACTCCAAAATCTCTGTAACCAGTAACAAAGTCCCATCAGAAAACTAAAGTAAACAACATGCAAGCACCGAATACACTCCCCTGTCTCGGATTCAAAAAAAAAAACAGAGCAACCCGTCACACACAAACTCCTTCTGGATCCCGCGGCACATGCATATATATATGTGTGTGTGTGTTTCGTGCTATGCCAGTTTGGCCAGCAAGAAAACAGAAGGAAGAAATGAAATTACAGCCTCAAGATCAACTCCTCTCACTAAGTAAATAAGGAACCGAAATTCATTCTTACAGAAACCATGATGCCCCCCCCTGTTCGGCCAAACTAGAGCACAGCAAGAAATCTCACATGCAAGCTTAAAAAACCAACATCAAACACTTCAATCTACCCATAGAATCCGAATCCATCGGTCCTCTTATCCTTTCCATCACTTTCTCTCACTACCCTTCTGTCTCTCTCTCTTCAAACACGCCATAACCACTCGGATAACAGGAAAGAAAATGGTGGGAGGTTGATCAGGATACTCACCTTGACAGTTTAACCGGTTTGCATGCAAGTGTAGCTCCTCAGATCACCACCTCCGGCACTACTCCTTCTCCGTTCTCTCTCTCGGTCTGTCTCCCTCTCTCGAGTTCTCTCACTGTCACGGATGGAAGGAAATGAAAGAATGCCACGGTGAGCTGATTGTTAATGAAGAAGGTGGCACGGGTAGTGTGTGACTTAATGGACCATTTTGCCCCTTTAAACATTCTTATTTCCAATGTCATCCTTTCACTAAATTTCTGAAATTATAGAATAAATCCAGAAATTTTTCCATGATGTCTTGTTTGGATTTTCCTTCTCCATTATCTTCTTTGACCCATAAAATAATTTCCCTAAAAATTTTGGGTCAAAAATTAACTCAATTATTTTTTTGAATTTTCCAAGAAAATAACTCTTAATTCCAGGAATTAATCCTTAACTCATTTAAGAATTTTATTCCTCAACTATCTTCTTTACTATCTCAAATGATCATCCTAAAATTTTTAGATTAAATATAAATCTCTAAGTATTTTTCCATAATTTTCGGAAAAAATAAACCATTTTTCTCTTAAAATGATCCATTAAAATTATTTAAGCCATTTTTGGGGAAATACCTTTTCCAAAATGTCTCTAAACCCTAAAAATCAATATTCCATAATTTTTCCCAACTTATTTGGCAAATAAATAATTTTAATGAATTTTCTCTTTTCTGCCCATCCTAAGTCATAAAATTCAGGGTGTTACATTTAGACAAGATTTTATGGTATTGAATTTTCTTGTATGTGTAGGGTTATTTTGATTGCTAAAACATGGTTAGGATGATATTAGGATTGTGAATTCTTTTTTTATGGAATGGATCTGACTCTACTGAATTACTGTTATTTTGGTTGAATTTTTTTATTGTACTCTATTTTGGTTCTATATGAATTTCAGGGTTTTTAGTAAATGAAAATAGGCAATTGAAAGAATACAAAATAAGTAATTTTTTTTTAAAAAAAATATATTCATATGTTCAGCGAGAACAAAAGAATTTGAGCACATGACATGAATGGATGGATGCAAAGCAGGATGAATGAGTGCGTATAAAGACATGTCTTATATTGTGTATGTAATATGGGCATAATTATGATCCATCAGCAGTGCATTATAGAGTTTGATTAATGCCAAGAGTTGGGGCCTTGTAAGGCAATGACACCAAATGCTTTACTAAAGTTTTCATTAGGGATGAAGTTATAAATTCGAATCCTCTCTAAAGAATACAGTGGGGATGTGTGATTTATGGCCAAAAAAAAATGCTAAGAGTAATTAATGGTAACAACATCATGTTAATTATGATTAGTCTCGTAATTGTATTATAGTCTACCTCAAGATCATGTATTTCCTAGGTTTTGCAAAGTGGTAAAAATTTCAAACGCATTATCATATTGCTGCTAAAGAGATGTTGGACAATATTCTCAAGGTCTAGGGATATATATCTTGTTGCCAACAGAAATAAGAGGACCCATTTGAATATCAGGATTAACAAATTAAAGGACTTGTTTCTTACATGCCATGTTTAGTAGGATATGAAAAGGGAAAGGGGGAGAGGATTCCATGCAAAGGTGAATTTTTGGCTACAAATGTGTTTGACAAATAGTAGGAATATGAAGCAGGTAAGAAAGGAGAAGAATTAGTCAAAGTGACTTAATATGTGGTTGGAGTAATGTTTGCAAACTTGCTTTTGGCCCCAGAATTCATTTTACAAACTTCATTTTGGTTAAATTTGAGTTTACTCTAGAATGATTATGTCTGAATTATCATATATATTTTTAATACAAGAGCTAGTTGAGAGTTGAACTTGATCCAAAGTTATTATTTTTCTTCAACGTGTTTATATTGATTGTAATAAGAGTTCCTATCAAAGAATAGTTCTAATGTACACAATTAAAGAAAATAGTTTAGGAAAACCAACACATATTTATTATAAATAACTAATTTAACTAGCTTCATTAATATCATCAAATTAATTATTTAACTTTTATATTAATGGGCAAGGATAGTAATACTAATGTTTATACCTCAATAGTGCTATCAACAAAATGAATATACATTTATATATATAATGTTCACGTAATTTTATTCAAAAGCACTCAGATATGTAATAACTAAAAAGCGCATGAAATTTATAATATAATATTACATGGCTAGTCATGTTACATATAATATATGTTTTGATCTATAATAAATATAATTATAAATATATATAAGCTAAGTATACATAAAAACAAAGATTAAAAATATATTTAAAAAACCCATATTAAAGGAATTATTCAACTTGATTTTGGGTCCTTTACGGAGGGAGGTTTCCCAATTACCACGATGTGTGGATTCTTCTCTGTCTATATCTTCGTTTCAACAAAAGCTATCCAAAAGGATTGTGGCGGAAGGCAATAACCTTCATTAAATTTCTAATACACTGATCTTTATCAAATACTTTAAATCGATTTTCGAGTTAATAGGGAGTATCAATTCCTTGGTAACATAAATAATATAGAATGGATGCCGAACATAATCTTTCATCCATACTAATCACGGACCGGAAAAAAAAAACTTTAAACTTTATTTACTCTGCATTAAAATTCAACAACTTTCTAAATTCATCCCTATTCAATATATATTATACCACATGAAAATAAAATAAATATAATAATAAATAAAAGATAAAATTATACACTTATATAAAAAAGTTCTCTTGAGAGACCTTATAAATAGAGCTAAAAAAATTTCTTCTCCGTCTATCTTGTTAATAGGACAAGAGGAGTAAACATTGATCTTAGGTGACGGAATTTTCAAAATTTCATTTTAGGGTTTTAGAAAGTTGAAAGTCCTATGCCTATATGTGAGTTAAAGTTGATAGAGGAATTTTGCGTTTATCATGTTTTCCTATTCAGGTAAGATATTCGTAGTTTATATAAGGTGACTACAAAACCCAAACAAAAGTTAATGGACACTTTTGGGATAAAACTTTCGATCCTAATTGCAAGACTCATTCTATAATGTAAATATTACACTATAAAATGAGTTTTACATTTAGAACTAGAGAAGAATGAAGTAGATAAAGAAACTTTAACATACAGTAGACATAACACTTAAGGCTTCAACATATATATAATTGCTTGATCACTTTTTATCAATCCAATACATAACCAACAACTCACATAATATGAAATTCAGCTAACAATATGCAAATACACGCACTTCACACTCCAACACCAACTTAAATATTAGCAAATAAATGCAAGTAATAATAAAGAACAGCGGTGTATTTAAGGGCCAAAAGAAGCAAATTGGAGTAAGAGAGGATTGTTTTGAAATTGAAGCATATGAAGCTCATTCAGGGTGACCCAAGCCTCAATTCCTCCATCCTCAGAACTCGCTGGCATAAAAAAGATTACGTTTCTTACGGGCACTCCAATAGTACAAACCCAAGTTGGCTTGCCCCATCCAAAGTTTGTTTCATAGAAACCAAGTCTCACCCAGCTACTGAAGATATAACAAGGAACACCTTCCCTAGCCGCCAGATGCAACTTTTGTCTTATTGATTCAAGGATTTCAATAAGTTCTTGACCATCTTCTTGAAGTTTACTCACAAAAGTCCCATCAACCATCTTTATGGTTTTTCTCACTACTTCTACCAAATCTTGTAGCTCCACCGTTGTTTCTTTGTCAACCTCAAACAATGGACAAATTGCAGATACAAAGAGATTACCTATATTAGAAAAAGATTACCTACATTTTGTCAATTGAAACCTCAAATTAAACAAGTGAATGGAAACGTTCATATAATTCAACAAATAAGTGAAGTATGCTAATGTCACCTAGAGAATTCTTTGGCAATGGTGGTAGCATCCGGCCACGTATATTCACAGCATGGAACATGAATGAACCACTTTTGTGACTTGTTTCTATGGTTCTTGCAGCTTGCAAGGCTAATTTCCATATCAAAGTTGTCACAGCTTCAACTCTAGTGGGCTTAAAGCCACAACCTCTTGAAATTTCTTCTTGTAGGGTACATAAGCTATTTTCACTAAACAAGAGTCTGTTCTTTGTAATATTCTTCTCGCCTATCATGTTATTGAAGTCAATTTCTATGCCTTTGGGTGGAAAAAGCAATGAAGCTTCATATTAAGAGACAAAGAAGAAGCCACCACTTCACTTCCTTCTCCCATTGCCTTTTGAGACCAAGCTTGGAGGAATGTAGCTACTGTTGTCCCATCACAAACCTTATGTGAGATGCACACACCAATTGCCATGCCTCCATAGCCTAACTCAGTAACCTGAACAGCCATTATTAGACGATCTTCATCATCGTCGTCTAGTTTAGGCTTATAGGGATCTAATGGAAGAAACCCTTTAATCTCATTGAGTTGTTGGTTGGTATTATTGTTGAGAAAATCTGACAGCTTTGAGGGTGCTCTAGCTTCAAGGTAAAGGACACCCTCATCATTACAATCAACATTATAATTCCTTTTGCTCCTTTGATTTTTCCACAGAATGGATAGTAGATAGTGAGAATTTGAGATAGCGAACTCTTCAACTTTCGAGAGATTTTGGGAAAATCATTATTAGAAGCAGAATAGAAGAGAACAACAGGAACATAAACAGAAGGAGGAGGAGCGATCTCATCAAGGAGAGAAATTTGGAAGTGTTTAAGGTGATTTGGAGTTGGTGATATTGGCTTTATGGTGACTTTGGACACAATCTCAACCTTACCTTCTGCCATATTTCTCAGGCAATATGAGAAAAGATTGGGTTTAGTAGAATTGCAAGAAGATTGACGAGGTATGGTTTATTTCCTTGACACATTGCGGAGCTTTCAATAATACAGAAAATTTAAAAGCTAGGTAAGCTATGAGCCTGTGAAGTCATGCATAGCATTTATTTTCGACTCGTACCCCTCCCCCAACTACTTCTATGTCTTCATGTGAAAAATCATCCGCACAACATTTGATTCATCTTAATGTCTTTTGTGTAATATCCCACATAAAATTATGCCATACTTAAATATACAAGTAGCACCTGCGTATGTTTACTAGGTACATAAAAGAAGAATCCTAACTTTTTTTTTGTTCGCTGAATAACCATGATATATAAAAAGAAAAACCATACCCAAGCACATATCATGGTTATAAAAAAATATCATACTTACTTCTTCGCCTTAACCATGTTAGGAAAAAAAAGGCTAAACCCCTAACATGGTTATTTAAATCCCTGACATACCCAGTTAACATAGACATTATATAAAATAAATCACAAGAAAGGCATCACTAAATAACCCACTTATTTAGATGCAATTGCCGCAATGTTCAGCTGTGGGTTTAAGGCCCTTAGGGCAATCAATAAAAATATCCATAGCCAAAGAAGCAAAACAGTCTAGTAGTAATAACAAGTCCAAAATAAGCTACTAACAGTCTAAAGAATATCATGGCTCCTAGGTGGCAATTAAACGTAAACCAAACATAAATTCTAGAATCAAAGCACAGTCACTAGTATAAGTGACCTCACACATACAGTGCCTTCCCCACTACGTCTCCCCTGCTGCTCTCACCTGAAATTGATGAAGTAACAGAATGAGACCACTGTCTCAGTAACATAAATCCTACCCACCTTATCTACTAGTACCCTTATGAGATGCCAGGTAGGACTAACAGTTCTAAATCAATAGTTAGCAATAGCATATGAATAGCACGCAGACAGGCATATCATTTAAGATCATATTATGTCATAATATTCAAACTAAATAAAATGCATCATAATTGTCACATTATCACAATATATTAAATTTTCAGTTTCACCTTATAACCTCCTTATAACTGTCAAATGAACCCATGGGCTAATTGCTACCCACGTCATAACCGACTCTTGCAAGCTTCCCATAAGTGTGATGCAAACCGGCCAAAGTAGGCAAAGCACATAAGGGCCATGGGTTCCTCCAGAAAGGGTTACTGCCTGGGATACCTCTGGAGTGTCGCAAGCCAAGGGTTACTGCCCTGGTAATATGGGCCAGCCATAAAGCGCCATATGGCAGCCTACTACGTGGTCACAATGTCACACAATTTCCCATCAATCCTCCACCATATTTATTTTCCATAGTTATATTTCATAATCATAAAATATCACAGCAATGGCATATAGTATAGTAATTCACAGGATTAGATCTCACGAATCACAATATATAGCATTACTACACAGCACCTAGCATGCATCAACAACAAACAATAAAACTAATTATAAAACAGTAAGACTCAAATATGGGTCATTTGCAGAAATCATCCCACAAGGTTAGCTTTTGGATCTAGAAGAATTTTTCATGATTCCTAGCAAATCTTTTCTCAAAACAATAAATGACATGTCTCTAAAGATTCTATATTTATTAAGGGACTCATAGGAGTCACTAGCAAGCAAAGTAGGTAGAAATCTACGTTAACTGTTATCCTTTAGCCACAAGCAGTTAAACAAAAATTTCAACAACCAAGGCTCTCTGTGAGAGGCTACAAGAATCACATATATACAATAATATTAATATATATATATATATATAGCTCAAAACTAGTAAAAGTCTATCCTAAACCTACACTGAAGTTTCTCCAAAGTTATCTTAGTGTCTTATAACTTATCTCCTGGAAACATAAATCTTCTTTTAAATTCATATTCCTTTATAATCTAATTAGTCCACTATAATAGTAAATTCTAGGAAGGTCTTGAATTCTTTTTAGAAATTTCCAAACCTGCAGATTTTAGTTTATAAACTAGATTGATGTTGTATATATGTACACATATGTATTGGGGAAAGAAACGATGACCAGATGAACAGGAGTAAGTTATCTCTAATCCAAAACCATCAATTATGTATTTTATTCTATTTGTCCACATTGTGAGTTTGAAAAATGTAATATGGCAAGGTAACTAAATTATCCTAAACATTCATATACATATGTAACTAGATACAAGGCCCAAAACTCTCCTAACCTTAAGCCTTTTGATCATCGCTCACGTCATGCGCGTTTTATTTCATTCATGTGCAACTAAATTATTCACCTATATACATGGGTACAATTTGATGATAGGACGGGTACGTAGTGATCCAGACATATCCAAATATATATATTAAAGATGGAAAATTGTGGAAAGGAAGAGGGAGCGGTGGGGAGACGTGCATGTGTGTGTGTGTGTGTGTATAAGGAGTGTGTGAGAAAGAAAATAATATATATGTTTATATACCTTTGAGAGAAGACCATGCCAGTGATTTGTTGATTGCAAAGAAAGGACAAGGTAAGCCGGTCAAGATTGCTGTGAGGAAAAACAAAAAGAAAAAGAACAAGAGACAAGAGACTGCTGGTTTGGCTCAAAAGGATAGAGTACAAAAGAGAAGGAATACAAAAGAAAAGGAAGGACAAAGGAGAAGCTACCTACAGAGCGATCAGGTTTGCGTTACGGCAACCACCAATGAGATAGAAACTACGTTCTTGGGTATTTGTAGAATTTATAAAATTTAAACTCCATCCCCTTATTTGATCTTAACTTATTGTTCTTATTATTATTAAAATCCTATCAGATATGGTAAATTTAAAATTTAAACCATTCTTTCCTAAATATATATATTTTTAAATATTTTATCCCCCTTTTATTTATCTTTAAATATTTATACATAGCTCTCTTTAATTATTTCAGACTCTTATTTTCTATTTAATCTTTACATCTAAATATATTGTTTCTCTTCTCTTTTATTTTATAATAATTTTTATATATAGCACTACCCGTACTAAGTCTCCAAACAAATAAAAAAAAAAATGGGATGTTACATTTTGTCTCCTGGTTTTATTATTTTTCCCAGCTATCCTATTGATTACATAAATTGGGGTAATTTCCAACATAAATGATTAAAATGAGAGGTACTCCTTCATGATCTTATTATAAGCTTCACAAAACAAATTTATGAATAATAAAAAATTAGTTAAAAATAATAAATCGATTATAAATATACTTCTGTTTTCAAACATGGCTAAGTAATAAATGAGAAAAAGAATAAAAGAGAATGTACAGGAAAATATGATGTGAGAGAGTAAGGTAAAGGAGAAAGAATAAATAATTAAGGATAAATTTGAAAAAAAAAATATTGGCTTTATGGTGACTTTGGACACAATCTCAACCTCACCTTCTGCCATATTTCTCAGACAATATGAGAAAAGATTGGGTTTAGTAGAATTGCAAGAAGGTTGATGAGGTTTGGTTTATTTTCTTGACACACATTGCGGAGCTTTAAATAATACAGAAAATCTAAAAGCTTGGTAAGCTATGAGCCTGTGAAGTCATGCATAGCGTTTATTTTCGACTCGTACCCCTCCCCCCATATACTTTTATGTCTTCATGTGAAAAATCATCCGCACAACATTTGATTCATCTTAACGTCTTTTGTCTCCTGGTTTTATTATTTTTTCCAACTATCGTATTGATTACATAAATTGGGTTAATTTCCAACATAAATGATTAGAATGAGAGGTACTCCTTCGTGATTTTATTATAAGCTTCAAATAACAAATTTATGAATAATAAAAAAATTAGTTAAAAGTAATAAATAGGTTATAAATATACTTCTATTTTCAAATATGGCTAAGTAATAAATGAGAAAAAGAATAAAAGAGAATGTATAGGAAGATATGATGAGAGAGAGTAAGGTAAAGGAGAAAGAATAAATAATTAAGGATAAATTTGAAAAAAAAATTAAATGTTAAAACAACCCAAATTGAAGTTTATAAAATACAACGTATCTCTCCCTAAATTTAAAACTTATAAATAGGACTGGAGGAAATATTTTAAGAAATACACCACTCATTTATTTACTAATGATGAAATTAACTTCCTTAATCCATGTGAGGTACCCCGTCCAGTCCTTAATTTGTATAAAATGCTTCATGCAAAAGTTGGATCGTTTTGTGTTTCTTTTACCAAAAAATTCCAATATTACAATTATACCCCACTAAGGAAGACCTCATAATGCCTTCTTAATTTACAAGAAATCTATTAAAATTACAGGGATAAAAAGAGAACATCATTTGATTTTTTTAACTAGGCATCTTATACTTTAGATCAGCCTTTATTTTTGGAAGGCATTTCATATAAGAGATAGGAAGGACTAGTTATCTACTCCCTCTTATCCTTATTATAAGAATAGGCTACCTAATTCGCAGGTATCAATAAAATTATTTAAAAATATTAAATTAGTCATAAAATTCAAGTGAATGTTAATATTGCCCTCATTAATTATACTAAATTCCAAAAACATATTAATTTTTGGTCCATCAATACCCTCATTAAATATGGGCATATATTGGGGGGGAAAAGTATTTAATACTCATTGAAATTATCAAAGGGTTTTATAAAAATATATATACTAGAATAGCTCTTATAATAAGGATAAGAGGGAGTAGCTCTTATATTTAACTCTAAAAGGAGTAGTACAAACCCATGTTAAACTAAATCTAACCTAGCTACTGCAGTTATAGCAATTAAGGAATAGGATTTAACTCGTATAATCAATCTGATCTCCATCAACTCATCAGTTGTATAAAATAATGAAGTTACCAATATAGAAGTCTTGTGTGTTATATCGTAAGAAAATGATTACTAGGTATATAAGAAACTAATCCTATTTTTATTTTGAAAAACAACATCGTTTTCTAATAATCTAATTAAGAAAAAAAATCAACATCTAAAGAATTCTCC